GTATGTATGTATGTATGTATGTAATGTATGTATGTATGTATGTATGTATGTATGTATGTATGTATGTATGTATGTATGTATGTAATGTAATGTATGTAATGTATGTAATGTAATGTAATGTAATGTATGTATGTATGTATGTATGTATGTATGTATGTATGTATGTATGTATGTATGTATGTATGTATGTATGTATGTATGTATGTATGTATGTATGTATGTATGTATGTATGTATGTAATGTATGTATGTATGTATGTATGTATGTATGTATGTATGTATGTATGTATGTATGTATGTATGTATGTATGTATGTATGTATGTAATGTATGTAATGTAATGTAATGTAATGTAATGTAATGTAATGTAATGTAATGTAATGTAATGTAATGTATGTAATGTAATGTAATGTAATGTAATGTAATGTAATGTAATGTATGTATGTATGTATGTATGTATGTATGTATGTATGTATGTATGTATGTATGTATGTATGTATGTATGTATGTATGTATGTATGTATGTATGTATGTATGTATGTATGTATGTATGTATGTATGTATGTATGTATGTATGTATGTATGTATGTATGTATGTATGTATGTATGTATGTATGTATGTATGTATGTATGTATGTATGTATGTATGTATGTATGTATGTATGTATGTATGTATGTATGTATGTATGTATGTATGTATGTATGTAATGTATGTATGTGTATGTATGTATGTATGTATGTATGTATGTATGTATGTATGTATGTATGTATGTATGTATGTATGTATGTATGTATGTATGTATGTATGTATGTATGTATGTATGTATGTATGTATGTATATGTATGTATGTATGTATGTATGTATGTATGTATGTATGTATGTATGTATGTATGTATGTATGTATGTATGTATGTATGTATGTATGTATGGTATGTATGTATGTATGTATGTATGTATGTATGTATGTATGTATGTATGTATGTATGTATGTATGTATGTATGTATGTATGTATGTATGCATATATGTAATGTATGTATGTAATGTATGTATGTAATGTAAGTTAATGTAAGTTAATGTAATGTAATGTAATGTAATGTAATGTAATGTAATGTATGTATGTATGCAATGTAAGCATGCTCGTATGAGTGTATGTATGTATGTATGTATGTATGTATGTATGTATGTATGTAATGTAATGGGACTTCCAAAAACACAGAGTTTTTGGCAAAAGGATGCAGGACGCCCAAGCCAGCAAGAAAGCCGGCAGGGGGAATCGAGCCTGGGACCCCTGTTTTGCGACACCGGCTCCCCGAATTGCCGCGCGGTATATATGGGGGACTTTCCCCCCCCCCAAAAAAAAAACAACAACTACGTATTTGACGTCGGGCGGGGGGTAAGGGGGGGGTTATCCTCTATCCTCTAGTACGTATCCGATACGCCGAACAATGTCGGCGGATTCCCAACCACAAGCGCGCAGGTAAATTTCAACACCGGGCGCGTTAAGAGTGCGAACATGCATCATAATCACAAGAAAGGCACATTGAAGATTCCGTTGCTCTTGTTGGTTCTGAGCAGCAGAGCCAAGAACTTGTATTGTCGGGGATTGACGCCTGTTTTAGTCTCTCTTTTTCGGTCTTTCTTGCCTATGTGTGAACATTTGAATTGCTTTCTGCTGGCAACGGGCAGACGATTTGCCGTGGCCGAAGGCCCACGCTGGCAGGGGTCGAGAAGGCGCGTCAAAGAGAGGCCCTGGGCTCCCCCCAGTCTTTACATGCTGGTTTAGGCACGGGCCCTAGCAGACTGCTTTGATAGACTAGAAAGGTTGTACTTCTATATGGCAGTGGCCAAACACCTATGTTGAATACTGACGACTAGTGTTTTTTTCCGCGGCTCCATCCAGTGTTTGCAGCCATGCATGGGTCAAGTGATGGTCCCATGTGAGGGGACGGGAAGAGGAGACGGATTTTCCCATGGCGCAGGGCAAAGAGATGGGCAACAAGCTCTTCAGCGCAGGCGGGAGTCCGGGAGTCGTGGGATCCGAAGCCTCCAAACCGACTCAAGTTGCCAACGTTTGCCCCGCTGTCTTAGGTCAAGGGAATGCCCAAAGGAAAACCACGGAGCTTTGCGGACTTTTTCCTAAGCTTACCTCTTGCTGTGAGGCAAATTCGAAGAATGCGAAAGGCCGGGGGTGCTGCGATTTGAAGAGCTGCGGGCCTGGAGCGCTTCAGGTGCTTTTCGAAGGCCCTTTGGCTGGCACAGGAGTCTGGTAAGGTCAAGGCAGGGAATGTGTACTTCGGCTCTAGACATTGCAGTGGCCCCAAGTTTGAGACGGAGGGTTGCTTGAAAGAAAGTTCATGGTGTGACCCTGTTTGGGAGTGGTAAAGGAAGCCAGCAGGAAAGCCACCATTTATTTGTTAGACAAGCCACTCGCGAGGCTCCCAACGACATCAGGGGCATCCTGCATTCAAATCGAGTTCCGGGCTCAGACGCGAGCGCAGGTCAGGCTGGGTTTCCTGGTTCAGGGAACTGAACGGGCTCAAAGGTCTCCTGCCACGTGCCAAAATTAGCACGCGAAGCAAATCCCCCTAGGACTTTCCCATTTGGCCATGACCGCTTGTTCATTTGTCTCAAAGGCGAGCCCCCAAACGCTCGGTTTCCCTTTAAGCCAACCATAGCCAACCCATTTCAGGGTACCAAGCCTCAAACGACACGCTGCATCCGAGGCGTTCGCTCGCCTGCGGCTGCAACGCTGGTCCGACGCGGAGAAAGACTGCGACGAGGCGGCTTTCGCACCCCTCTCGGGCGCCAAGCAAAATGCCAGGTAGGCCTCAAGGTCTGTTTGAAGGGAACAGCGGGCGCCAGAAGGGGTTGGAACAAGATTTGGCCATGGTTCAAAACCAATGGTACCATTTTGGGATAGGTGCACCACCCATTTTAGTCTATTTTAGTTGGATGTTCACCGGGGGTACGGGGTTTGACCCATGGCCATTTTACTCCTATTCTGCCGGAATTTTGTGACCGATGCTTTCCACGCAGCTTGGCCGACCGCTTGAGTGTAGTGAGCCAACAGCCCCCTATGCTGAGGCTTTTGCATGTTACACGCGACAGATCTCTTTCTGCCAGAGCGCCTGGAACCTGCAGGCGCTTCGGCTGAATGAGCGGAACGCGAAGGCGCATCTGATGGAGCCGCGGGTCCCGACGGTGGTCACTGTGAAACGATCAAAATGAAGAGGGTTGAAGAGGGAGGGAGACTTCAAGACATACGTCCGTCCTTTTGATTCTTTGCATAGTTTTGTGCAGACCCCTTTCATACCAGATTTTGACATGCTATTGTGAATCACGTGGCTCAGTGCTTTTCGCATGATCCCGAGAATCCGATATGATTCCTCCATTCTAGCCAGGAGAGATGGATGTTGCAAGATCTTGTCAGGTGAGCAAAACATCTCAGCACCACCAATAGCCTGCTGCGCAACCCATTCTAGAGCTCAAGCTTGGCCAGTTCCGAGTCACAAAGCAGAATTTCCCTGTCGACCTAGCTTTTGGAGAGAGCCATGGCACCTTCGAGAGCAGTGGCGTTGCTACTGATCCTCGGGTGCTGTGCAGCTGAAAGGCGCGAGTTTGAGAACACCACTGGCTGGGCCAGACTCTGCGCAGAAGTCGCCGCAATCAGATCTGACCCGCCGCACTTTGTTGCGAAGCTGGGTCGGATCTACGAGACTAGACAGGTTCTAAGCCGCTCGCTCCCAGTTTTGCTTGAGTCTCCTCTTTTTCGTTCCAGCGGAAGTGTAAAGAGCAGAACGTATGAGAAAACAGCGAGGTCTGCGAGCCGCTGAAACTCATGGAAGTGGCATGATTCCGGCTTTCCCACCGCAAATGCAAGGGGTTGACTTAGGCTTGTAAGATACACAACCTCGCTCCGCTGCAGGTTTCCATCGTCCAAAGTCAAATCGTACATTATGCTGACTTGTTGTGTATATACAACTAGTGCATCATGCATGAAACCTAGCGTTGCACATTTATCATACAACAACACTTAGTATTAGATCACCTACTATTGATATTGCTCTAATAATTTGTTCAATGATTTGTTTAGTGTTATATGTGACATAAGTAGTGTGAATAGAAGAAATGACATATGCATATATAGATAGAAACAACTGTGCAAATTTAGGCACAGTTTTATGACCAGCGGCCCAGGCAAGCGGCGGCTCCGACTTCGGGAGGTGAACGGCAGCCTTTGGGAGGGCCCAGGCTGTGAGCAGGTGTCTTCCGGGCCCTGGAGGTTGAAGGTGGATCTGGCTGCGCCCAAGGCGGCACCAAAAGCATTCCGGAAGCACCACCGGGTGATCTTGGAGTTTCCGGATGCCTGGCCTTCCAAGCTGCCAAGCATCCGCTTTCTGGGCCAGCTGCGGAGTTTTTACGTGAAGCCGCCCAACGAGGACAAGAGCGACCACGTGCGCGAGGCCAGCAGCAAGCTACTGAAGCGCTTGCAGGAGACAGCGGGTGCCAACGTCTCATGCACCATGTCTGGTCCTTGCTGTGCCCGCATCGCCCTTCTGGCCTTTTCGAAACAAACACCCTTCTCACTAAACTTGTAAGAGGTCTAATGACCTTTTGCTCGGGGCTTGGAGCAACTGAGGCATGTGGAGGCAGACGGGTGGCTGCAACTCAACTGGCCAGCGCGAGCCCGAAAGGGATCTGCTCTGTAGTGAGGTGGTGCCCGCTGGAGCCTCTGGCTTTTGTGACTGCAATGGAGACAATCGGAAGACGAGCGATGAGCCCGGCTTTGACTGCCAACAGTCGCCAGGCAGCTGCGAAGCTGTTTGCCCCAGATCGAAGCCTTCCGCGGCTTACGATCCTCGGTGAGATTTTGGCATCTGACTGGACGGTCTGTAGTCTGTCTTGGAAGTGTTGTAGGTTGGTTGAAGGCGCCTGCCGAACCAATCTTCCTGATTCAACAACACGTAGGCTAGAGTTTCTTTTTATGTTTGAGGCGCTCGCCTGGCTGCTTGCCGAGCTGCAGCGGTCTCTGGGGGGGCCTCTTCACAGCTCCGATGGGAAAGGCTGGCGTCTGGCGGCCTCCTCCTTCGAGGAGGATGCCAGCACCGTGGGAAAGTACGAAACCTTCGGACGGCGCCATCCCTTCCTCTTCCAGTCTGGGGGCCTGCAAATGCAGCAGGCCATTGACCCCAGGACCTGAGCAAAGTAACAAAACTACCACATTTTGCATTGGAAAGCATTGGCGCATCTCTTCCCTTTTGGTGGTATGCTTGCCTGCCTTTGCATGGTAGTTTGTCGGCAGAAAAGCCACCCTCGGAAATGGTTGGACGTCAATCCACGCACGCATCTCCATTTAGGACTTGGCGGACATCCTGGGAATCACTTAACTTGTGACTGTGGTTCCCTGTTGGAATTCATGCCCATATGAATGAGCACAGTCTACATTTACAGCCATCCACGGTAGTGAGGATGACATGGGTCACACGGGTCACACACACACACACGGGTATTGGGAAATAGGGGTTGCTCACCAAAGTCCAATGGGGACAATCAATATTTATCAGGGCTCACACACAGTCGCCGAGCCGAGAATCGACCTTTTGATCTTTTGGATTTCCCAATTTGATCCATGTTTGTTCAAGATCCCAGATTTCCATTTGGTTAATGTCCGACCTCCAGGTTCTTTGGGCATGTGAGTGTATCAGGATGCTCAACTTGATCTCAGCCTTCAATGGTACGAGGGAGCAAACCAAAGACCAGCTTCTGAGCTCCGGCCTCATCACAGAGATCGTTCCGGGCTTGGCCGCTTGGCCACTGAAACTTCCTTCTCAGAAGGATTCCTTCTGAAGGATTTGGTTGGTTGGTTGCTTGGTTGGTTGCTTGCTTGGTTAGTTGGTTGGTCAGGATTTGTTTGAGGTGGTAATGGGTGTTCTTTCGTGGCTGTGGACGCTTTGAGACTCGTTACATCAGCCCAGGTCTTTAGCTTTCCAATCTTTACGCCAGAATTCTGCGCTTTGCTCATGGAAGAGAGCCTCAGCAGGGCTTATGCTTTACTTGGAATGTTTGTTGTGCCCCGCACTCTCAGTTTAGGGTGGAAGCCCGCTGAGGATTCAGAACTTTTATCGCTCAAAGTTACCAGCTCGGCGGCCGAACTCGATGAACAACTACGGCGACCTGGCGTGTGAATTTACATTCATGTGTGGGGTCATGGTGATTGAGTGAGTCCCAGGACTCCTGGACCTTTAACCTACCCATGCTGCCGCACAATGGGATTCATTCCCTCTTTAAGGGTTGTTTGAGGTTCCAGGTTGATGCTTTCATGGGAGCTTCAGCATGGATCTGATTTCGAGGCATCATCTTGAACGAGATTGGCACCGTGGCTTACGAATTTGGCCAAGCTGATTTTGGCGACGCAGATGGCTTCCAGAAAAATGGGCTTGTTTCGGAAAACCTAAAATAAGTTGTGGTGTGGTTTTGCAGCACAACCTGAAGGAACTCCGACATTTTTTTCATTGCTTTTTCGGTGTCCCCCAAAAGAAAATACGACACGCCTGCGGTTTGAGGCCTGGAGCCGATGGTGTTCGACCTCCAGGACGCAGTGATCCAACCGCTGGCCTCGGTGCTGTTGCCCGTGGAAGGTCGGAAGTCTTGGGGCACAAAATCGCTGCCGCTGAACAGGGCTCCTTGAAAGATACATTTTGCCCATTTGAAACATGGCTTTTTCCGCCAAAGTAAAGGGAAACCACAATTTACCAGGCAATGTTCAGGTGTATAATGTAAAGGATCCCGGCTGAAGCAGACCCTGAAGTCCTGGTCAAGCTCCAGTGGGTGAATCCTTGTCGGCTTGCCACTTAAGTGGAGTTTCGTTCGCCATAAGTTTGGCGACTCGACTTTGGGCCACCGGGGAAGTTCGCCGGCAATGTCGCTCCATAGCTTTGGCAAATTGACTTCCTTCTCCCACGAAAGTATGCTTCGCAGGCAGTGAGCTGGAGTCCCACCACTCCTTCACCATCAGGCTCGGTTGGCGGGCTCGATGGCAACGAGTTTAGTGGATGCATGGGGGTTGCAACTATTGAATTTCTGCCGCAAACAATTCATGAAACGTGGAGCCAATAAACAAATGCAAGCATGTGGACGACTGCGACAGGTACAAGGGCCGGGGCCTTACGTGCTCACCTGAAAAGAGACCACTACAGCCGGGACTGTTTGCCAGGTGGTGAGGATACCCACCTGGACGTGCACACGGATGACTCGGATGTCACGTTTGGGTCCGAGTTGGGTTCTCGTGAGATTTCACCCGCAGTCATTTTGGTTTGGGGGTCTCCTTCGACCAGCCCAAGGGTGCCGTGAAAAAGGGACACATCCAGCCTCCATCGGTTCCTGACGACCATGGTGGCCAGCTCCCAATGGAATGCCTGGAGGTTCAACGTAAACATCTTCGGCAACTACTCGGGTGCTCCATTGGTGCCATGGACTGCAAGCCTTGACCGATACCACTAGCATCCCATCACCCGAGGTATTTTGTGGAATCAATGGAGAACCTGACCATCGACAATTCCGAACCGCCTATATGCATCAGTCACTTTTTTGGCAAATAGAGTCACACGGGCCAGAGTGGCCCGAGTTCAGGTAGGTTTCAGAACACTTTCCGTGTTGAGAAGGTTCGCACATTCAACTTTGTTGTGATGCTGGGTAGACTGACAGTGGTGGATCTTGAGGTATGTTTGTCCCGTTAGGAGTTGGCCTCGTCATTCCGTGTTTGCGGCCAGATGGCGATGAATCTAACTGGGGCACCCCCTCATGGTTGGTGGCACCAATTCCCGTGTAAGCGATATCCACTAAAGGATCTATCCATTCTAGATTTGTCCATCAAAATCTTTCGCACGCCCTCAAAGGACACCCACATTGCCCATGCACTCAAAATTCATACCACTAGGCAATCGAGGGATGATTCGGGGTTAGGGTCAGTTGGGAAGTATACCCATGTGGTTTGTTTCAGATGGGGAACCCTCCAAAAAGGTGGTTTCGCAAACCAAGCCCCAACAGCTACCGAGCCTTTGTTTTAAGACACACCCACATCGGCATGAACCAGGGGCACCCCACTGAACAGTGGTTGGTGGACACAAATCCCCACCTGAACAATGTCCACCAACGGGTCCCTTTGGTGTGTCGTCTTTTGAAGGGTGTCCCTTTTTGGCGGTTGAAAGGGACACCCAAAAGAAAAACCACCAGCTCGGAGGGTGCCCCCCCATTTTATGAGTGGCACCCATCTCAGGTCATCCAGCCGGCCTCGCTTCGTGTGACTCTCGCCGCTCGCCCGAGGCTGGGCCACGCCGTGCTGCACAAGGGCCGGCACCGCCACGGCGCGGAGGACATCACCGGCGGGGAGCGCATGCGCCTCGGCGGCAAACAAAAACTCAGGGGGCGTGAGCGGAGGAGCTGAAGGTGTTCAGGTTTTAGGGTGTTTAGAGGTTTAGGGGACCCTGAATGGCATTCAGGATAACCGATTTCTGCAGGATTTGCCATGAGAACTACCGTGATTGGGCCTGGTTTGACTGGCTTGGTGGTTCAGTGTGGTTGGTTGACTTGATCCTCGGGACACCGGAACGGATGGGTGGGAAAGCCGGAGTCGGAAAGCGGATGGGGAGGTGCCGAGCTCAGCGGAAGCTAAGGAATTTGGTGGTTTGGTCATACTCCTACAATTACCGGCATTCCAAGGACGAAGTTTTTTTTCTCCTTTTGTTTTTTCTTATTTTAATAACAATCTAAGATGGTTTCCAGGGAACTCAGCGTATACAACCTTCAGTGGCTGTATAGTGGTTGTATATTGGCGGTTTGGGGGTAGTAGAAACCATCTTGGATTCAATGCCTGTGAGCGCTCTCGGGTTCTCGTTTTAGATGTCTCGGGTCGCTTTTGCCAGGAGGGGGAGAAGGTGCACCAGAAAGAGGCAGCACCGCCGGATCAGCGTTGTGTGGCCTGGTTGCAGAATCCAGATAGGAGAAAATCCCGAAAGTGGCTCCTTGGGTCCCGCAACGAGGGCCACTTGGCATTAACTTCACGGGAGTTTTCCTTTTGCTTGCGCCCTTTCGACTGCTCCCAAGCAAGTGGTTTCCCTTCTCGTCATTGTTTTGATGGTGCAATTGGGTTTGTGATTTGGTAGGGTACCCCTTTTACGGTTGTTTTATCCAAATCCCCAAGTTGACCCACTTTCATGTGGGTGCGTCTTTGCTCACGTGGAAACCAACCATTTTAGGTTATCCATTCTCTCTCCCATGGCAAGGCACTGGTTGCAAATGGGTTCCCAGCTTTCCCTTGCGTTTTAGAGTTGATCGCAACCTGCAAAGTATACCAACTCACAACAACCCATCAAACCCATCAAACCCATCAAGCACGTGAACGCATGAACCCCATCAAACCCATCACACCCATGAAACCCATCAACTCAACCAACCCCATCACACCCATCAAACCCATGAACCCCATCAAACCCATCAACCCCACCAACCCCATCAAACCCACCAACCCTCTGAAACCCATCACACTCATGAGCCCCATCAAACTCAACACACCCATCAATCCCATCCAACCCATCCACCCCATCAACCCCATCAAACCCATCACACCCATCAAACCCATGAACCCCGTCAACCGCATCAAACCCATCACACCGGTGAACCCCATAAACCCCATCAAATCCATCACACCCATCAAACCCATCACACCCATCAACCCCATCAAACCCATGAAACCCATCAAACCAATCAAGCCCGTCAACCCCATCAAACCCATCACACCCATCAACCCCATCCATGAACCCCATCCAACCCATCACACCCATCAAACCCATCCAACCCATCCACCCCATCAACCCCATCAAACACATCACACCAATCAAACCCATGAACCTTATCAAACCCGTCACACACCCGTCACACCCATCACCCCCATCAACCCCATTAACCCCATCCAACCCATCGCACCCCATCAACCCCATCAAACCCATCACACCCATCAAACCCATGAACCCCGTCAACCGCATCAAACCCATCACACCGGTGAACCCCATGAAACCCATCAACCCCACTAGCCCCGTCCCCATCAAACGAGTCATTCCTGCCCAGGTCTCCTACACACACGACCGGGATTTCGGGCGCTTCAAGAAGTGGCCGGAGGGCAAGCAGCACTTCAAAGGCCGGGGGTGGTGTCCACCGCGCGGCAAGGAGTACGAGCCTCGGCCGATGACGCAACTCAGAAGTGGTCAGCTATAGCTAGGAACCGCCAGGGCTGATGATGTGAATTCTGGAAAGGTTGTTTCTTGCTTCTGTTCTGTTCTTTCTTTCTTTCTTTTTTTGTGTGTGTGTGTGTTGCAATATGTCTAGAAGTGTATCTATTTGTGTAATTCTATGCTGGTTTTGTTGCCAAACACATGGCCTGTACAATGAGAATGTCTGTACTCAGCGACACGAACTTCCCAGGAAGCCATATAGAATTCCTACACGCAGTCTAGGACTCTGAAGGGAGGAGTGTAAGAGACATAAACATAGCAGGACTGCTAAAGTCGCAGATACGTCAAGAGATGAAAGGATGCGATGACTGCTCGGGTTTGCCGATTCGAAGTGAACAGCGGTTTTACCAGTCGCAAGGACTAGATCCATACGCTTGGGCCAAATGTCAAAGGTGGATCAAGCAGCGCGTGTGTCAAGGTCGAGCATGTTTTGTTTCTTTTTTTTCTTCCTTTTTTTCTTTCTGACATGATGATCCCAAATGGTAGCGGATATGAGTGGGTAACACGCGTTGAGCGTTGTACTGTGCACCAAGGGTAGCAACTGATATCTTCTACATCAGCGTACTAGTGTTGAGCCAGTGCATGACTAAGGCATTTCTGCCACTCTGCAATGGTCTGCACGATTCCTCCCCGGACATAATTTGCGTTAGTCCAAGAGTTGCTGCGGACTGTCCTCAAACCGACTCATGTTTTTGACGCCCAGCCCAACGGAGCCCAACTAGGCTGCCCGAGGGACGCGATGCTTGATGCAAGAATCTCCTGCCGCTTGCGCGGGTTTTGCGGTGTTTCCACCTGTGCAAGAATCTCAGTCGTTGTATTGCTCGATTTTGTGAACAAGACTTTCGGCAACCGGTCACATAGGTATGTGCGTACGACGCACCACATTTTGTTCACACCAGTAGCCGGCATCGGGTCAGTTTTCTCGATGCCGGCGAAAGGATGGATTCAAGCCGGATGTGACAGATGACCAGCTGCCTCGCCGTACTGCGGCCGGCGGTGGCGGCGGACAATGACGTGTCGCAGCTGCAGAGGGCAGGCAGGAATCGAGTCCTTCATCGCAAGATGTCCACGAGTGTTCGTTCTGCATATCCTCGCACTGGTCAGCCAAGGTTAGACTCAGCTCGCAGCAACACGCTCGAAGTCTCAGTGGCATAAGAGGCAGCTTCAATGATTCAGAAATCGAACCATGACTTGCAGCTTTTTGACAGACAAGAGATGCCACTGGGACGCTGGGGCGCAAGCTGTGAGCTGCTGAGCAAAGCCAAACTCTCGCCCTTTCACATGGTGGTGTGCGCGTAGCCTGGATGCATCTTCTCAAGCTCCGGTTTGCTTTTTGGCTGTTGGCACTTGTGAGCTTGGCAGGCAGTGAAGCTCGAGACCATTGCAAACACGGCATGTCGTGTTGTTGGTCTCGACGGCTTCTGTTTTTTGCTTGTGTGACTGGAGAGAGGTTGACTCCCGTTGCACGCCGTAGATGAGGTACTGTCAGCTGAATGAAGCCGGCACCAGACGATGGGCTTCGCGCCTTGGTGTTGGGGCCAGCTGAATGCTTCCTAGCACTGACCACCTCGTTCATGTCTCTTGCCATGGCACCATGCAAGTAATTAGTCTCCAAACCGCAGCTGACAATTCAATCTTTCAAGTGGCTGAAGTCCTTTGGCAGTTGGCATGTTGAGCCGAAAATTTGCATGATGCCTGTGCTTGCTGCTTGCTGCTGCCAAAGAAGCAGGCGGCCGTCCGGCTCTGGGTCAAAGGGCTTCAAGCCTCAGAAACAGGTGCTTTGGGCAGTGGCAATGAGCAGTGGCAAAAAACAGCAGCGCAAGAGAGGCGGCTTATCCCGGAATACTCACTGAGGCAGGTTTACTAGCCCCGGCTCGGGGCTTGGCCCCTGCCAAAAGACTGGTTATTGGTTGCTTGCTTGCTTGCTTGCTTGCTTGCTTGCTTGCTTGCTTGCTTGCTTGCTTGCTTGCTTGCTTGCTTCCTTGCTTGCTTGCTTGCTTGCTTGCTTGCTTGCTTGCTTGCTTGCTTGCTTGTTTGGTTGGTCGTCCGGGCGGCCGCATCCCGAGCCCGGTCAGTGGCAGGGCTGCGTGTTGGCCAGAGTTGCTCGGGCTTAACCGGCCGCATCCCCAGCATCACCGGCCCCGCTCGGACTAGGCTGCTTCAGGGCGTGGTTACGCAAGTTTTGGGCTGTAGCGCAAATCAGCTCCAAGCCAACCCAAACCGACTCAAAGTCAACCTGAAACCCTCCCAACAGCATCCTGGAAATCAGCCCTTTTCCGAGCCTAAATGACTCCCAAACAGACCCAAGACCCCCCCTCAGAAAGACTTCAGCAAGCCCAACACCCACCCGAAGCCAGCTTCGAGCAACTCTGAACTGCCACCAAATCAAAGCCAATAGGAAGCCCTAGTCCGAGCGAAGCCGGTGATGCTGGGTATGCGGCCAACCAACCCGACCGCCGGCCTGAGAGCTTGGAGCCGCATGAGGGAGGCCTTGTGATGAGCCGGAGCTAGTACTAAGCCGGGGCTGGTAAAAAACAAGCACCTCAGCCCTCTGTCAAATCATCGCATCACCACCTTGCTACGCTCGAATTGTGCTTGCGGGATAAATTCAAGATCTCTTTGCCTAGGTACAAGCGCCGGGTGGGTTTGAGATTTTATTGGGAACCCCTTGAGAAGAACTAGTAGGTGAGCACAATAGCTCATGTGAATGATGTCCACCAAGGGTCTCCGATCAAGATTCCCAGGTGAACCCAGCCATTCGAAGTCTGCCAGGCGTTATACCGCCGAGCTATGGCGAGGCAGCAGTGATGCCCTGAGCAACCCTTCCACAATGACCGGTACAGTCAGGGAATAAGGACCCCATTCAAGGAACACTGACTAGCTCCCCCTTGTGGAGTGATGAGGGCACATTCCAACAGGTGCCTGTTGTTGGCCAATTTTTGGGTTTGGCCGGCCATCCTCTACTGTCGGATCACCCACTGCTGATCCTTGTCTCAGATCAGAAGATGTCATGGAACTGAGTGGGCAATGGCATTGCAGTTCAAGCATGATACTACTTTTTGCACAAGGAGAAATGGCAAGAAGCACCACGATCTGAGTACGAGATCCAACAAGGCTTCACGCGAGCTTTTTGCTGAGGCTTGAGAAGCCCAAAGCAGCCTTAGCAGATCTCGAGCAGCTCTTGCCGATGCTGGAGCGCACTTCGCTGCGGCTCAAACCTTCCAAGAAGGGTTTCCACATATGCCTATGGGCTAGGCTCTGGACGCTCAGATGGCCAAAGCATCCTTGGGAGACTTCGGATTGGGATCTTTGGCATTTGATTTCCCTAAAAAAGAGACTTCCGAAGTTGGGGGCAGACCTGGCAGGATGGGAACAGCAACAAGGACGCACTGGCGCTCAAAGAGGAGCTGCTGGCGCCGGGCCGCCGAGCTGACAAACAACGCGCGTCAGCCTTTGGCTCCACTGCGAACAAGGGGTTTTCAAGCTTTTGCTTGGGTGGTTTTCCTGGTCCCCTTTGACCAGGGAGAGTATGCTGCATATTTGGGGGGGCTGAGTATGCTGCAGTTGGGTTCTGGTTTCCGACCAATGATTCAGGCCCCAAGAAGGCCAGTTCCATGGAGAGTCCATCCTGGAAGCAGGAGTTCCTTTTCGGCGATCGGCCTCATGTAACAGCTGCCAATGGGAAGCATACTTCAAGTGGATATGTGTCAAAATTGGGGGTTGCGGCAAAATGGCGGTTGCGCCTTGGTTTCCCTTTACATCAACCACAACAAGGTACCCGCAAAAACACGACCTCAAATGGGTTTTGTGACCCCTGTGACACTCAAACATTCTCCGAGGCAGCTAAGACCAAGCTCGCCCAAGGCACTGCAGAAGGCAGCAAGTGACTCGCTTTCATATCTCCTCGGCGCTTGGCACATTCGTGTGAGCTCGCAAGAGCGATGGTATGCGACATCATGTTACCACACCTTTGCGCAGTATGCAATCCAAGAGTCTGGCGTGTCAGAAGATCGTTGTTCTTGCTACATGTTGCCGCTGGCCATGTGCTCAAGCTGTGGCAACCTCGAGCAAGCCCTGCACTTCTTAGTTAAGGCGCAAACTGTAGCTCATTGTCTGGCCCTCGGCTCAGTTTTGAGAACACGGTGTGGCTTGTCCCCTTCTTGAGTTGTTGACAGGTTTTGGCGGGGCACCACTCAGAAAAAGGGAAACACACAGGGGCTCGGCTGCCCGGCAACTTTGAGAGACTTTCAAGACTGCTTGCCGCAACTGAGATCGTGTCCATGGCAGCTTCGGACGTGAAGAAATCTCTTAAGAGTGTGCTGCCCAGGATTGAGCACAGCCAGCTGAATCAAGCTGTTGGCTGCTGTACATTTCACACAGACACTGCCAGCTTTGCCCACTGTTTTTTTTCTTTTAATACCGACCCGTTCAGAAACGGGTATGTCTCATAGGGGAACTCTGAAAATGGGCGGTTTACCGTTGGTTTCCAACAGCAGCTCAAAAAAGCTCCAAAAACCCAAAAGGCTTTACTGTTGTCTTTGCATTGTTTCATGGTGGGCAGGCCAGGTGAACAATAATTCCTTGTGCAAGCATGGCAACTCACCGCAGAAATCGGGCTGCAAGCCTTCTTTTTGATCTTGCGTGGCAATGACATTCTTTCAACTGGAATCGTGGAAAACAAGGTGCTGTGAGAGCTGCTCATGTGCCTGGGAATTACTGTTGGTTTCCCATCAAGAAATACACCCTCTCCACCCCCAACAGAGTTGGAGAAAAAAAAAGAGAGAGAGAGACGCATCCAATTTCCTCGAGGCATCCAGGAGGCCAAAGTCGTCAACGACACCTTTCTGCGCGGTGTGGTAGCTCTGCTCGAGAACACAGAGGCGACTTGGAAAACCGGGAGTGGCTCGATCGATACTTTTGAGAGGGCCATAAGTTGATGGCACCGTAGATTTTAGGCGCTGTGGAGAAGGTGGTGTCTGCGGATTGCGGTACCGGGTGCCCTGCGCCCTGTTGCAGGCCACAGCCATCAATATCGAGGTGGGCGAAGCCCCGTGTTTGACGCATCGCTCGTGAGCCTGTTTTGCGGGTGGGAACCCCCCAAAAATGAAGGTTTTCCCTTTTTGTTGGCCTTCAACAGCACGGCACGCCTTTATTGCAGACTTTCCCTACAATTCGCAGAAGTTGTTTTGCAACTCCATGCTTCCATGGGCGTGCTTTCTTTTTTGAGGAACCCTTTTCGGGGTTGTTTCAAGGGGAAACCGCAGGGAATCCTCCCATTTTGGGGGAGCAACTTCTGACGCATTGGCCACCCGATGCCTTGCTCGAACCCGCAAGGATTGCCTTCTCAAGTTGAACCGCATGCTGATCAGCTCTCCAAGCCCCAAGGCCCGCGTCTCGGGCTTGGCTTCGCTTGCTAAAAGCGAACTCCTCCGGACAAATGCAGAGAAGCCCGGAGTTTCCGTGCTTGCAGGTTGTCGAGATGATCGTTGCATCAGAATTGCCCACGAGCATTGTTCGAGTAATTCGGCGGCCAGAGCCTGAGCTTGCATCATACTTTGGCATGAGGTGAGTAGTACAGGAGTACACGCAGTACATGAGAATCCCAACTGAGCGGCGTCCAAAACCTCCGTGTACACGGTTAGTAAGAGTCGTGTCATATCGACCTGTGCGTAAGCAAAAACTTCACGTGCGTAAGGTGGCGTAAGCTAGTGGCGTTTGCAAAACTCGAAATGTGTCGAGTAAGGAAAAGCTCCACGCGCGTAAGGTGGCGTAAGCTAGTGGCGTAGTCAACATGATACGACTTAGCAAATCATGACACGTTTAGGACATGGCTCAACTGGTTTCTGTCCTTCAAGTTTCAAATGAAAGCCATCAGTACAGCCATCTGGTGAATTGAGACATCCAGATTGTGCGTCTTGGCCGCACTTGAGGCACCAGGGTCATCCTCCTGCCGTCGCGTTTGCATGTCAAGTCCTTGCCAACTGCGCAGGCGAGGGAGGGTAGCCCCAAGCCATGATCGTCAAGAGCGTGCAATTTCTGGAATTCTCATTGTGGCATCAAGGACTTGGGCAATTCCAAAGGCCCTAACCTTTTGTCACCTTCAGCGTGTTTTGGTGGCTGGCTTAGGGCTTTTGGCTCCCCCAAAGTGAACGGGCTTGAGAAGGGTGTTTGAGCGACAAGTGGACGTTGGGAAAAGAAGACGGCACCAGCGTTTGGGCCTGAAAACAACACCAAAGATGGAACCACGAACTGTCTCCGTAAATGCTGCTCACCCGGCAAAAGCATCGCACGTGACACCTCTTTCATGGCTGTTTTTTCTGCCAAAATCACGAGTTGGCAAAGATGGTGCTTTCACAGAAGCAACACCTGGGCCTACCGATCAGATTGGTGGGCAAACTGGAGCAACGGAACGCATCTTCCCATCGATCCTGAACGCCCAAATGGCGGCTTGCCATCCCAAAGCTCGGTGGGCACTCGCCCCCAGAACCTGCTATGTATGCATTTGCATGCACACACACACAGACCCATACCGGCCCTCACCCATGTGTGGCAGGTACGACGGAAGTAGCTCCTGCCCTTCTTCGCTCAAGCCTGAGTTCTCTGGCCAATAGCTTTGTGCGAGTTAGCGGAATAGCTTCTGGGCGGCTTCTCTCCTTCCCTGAAAGTAGTTCTGACAGGCAGCATTTCTCATCTGAGGTGCTGGCGTGTTGGAGGAGGCCTTGACCAACGGCCAGTCAAAACACTAGGTGTGAAGAGGGATTCCCATGGATTTCTTCATGCTCAGAGTCACGTTGGCGCCCTTGACCCGAGTTGGGAAGTCAAGAGAACTTCGATTGGCCCCCAGCGCGCAGGCTCTTGCTATGATGGACCGCAAGGGGCCTCAGCTGAGTTCACACGAATATAAGCCGCCTGAGGGAAGAGCCGCAACGAGCACAAACCGCATGGAACCACGACGGAAGCACATTAAATATGCCGACTGCAGTAGTGGCAACTAGCTTGTCATGTCATAATACTTGTGCTGCCATGTTCTTGGATTTGCCTTGGCTGCATCCCAGCATGTGGCGACGATGTTGCCTTTTTTTGCACCCTCCAGCCTACATTACTTTTGGAGGTTAGGTGATGGCACCATGTCACGGATGCAGGGCTTTGGATCAGGCGTTGCCCCTTGAGTTGAAGTCGTGGCCATAGTTGCGAGTGCCACCCGTGCTGCTTCATGCTGTTTTGCCTACTGACCATGGATTTTTCCCTATGCGTTGTGTGCGGGTCCTGCGGGTGGGGTGTTGCTCATTGTCGTTGTGTCTTGGCAGGAAAGGGCAGCTTTGATGACACACACACACACACACAAGACGGGAGGGACTGAAGTGTAAGCCGCACATCGTCGCTCCACCCATCCGTTCACCCATTCGTCCATTTGTCCATCCAGCCACCCATTCATCCTTTCGCCGTCTTGTCTATGCGCCGCGATTTCTGCCAATGATAAGCAGTGACCAGCTGCAGAAGGAACTCTCCGGGGATACATTGGTTCTGTGTGTGTCAGTTTCAAGATAATGCTGAGAAAAACAGTCGAGCTGGCAAAAAGGGGTCAGTCTTTTGACGTTCAGAGTGCGTCGCGCTAAGGCTACAAAATGCATGGTGGAGTGCAGAATACTGCGCTTTTCCTACTGCGTGCGCTGTTCAAGGTGGGCATCGCTCATTTGAATCCAATGTTGAGCGCCGGAGTATCTCTACGTTTCGAGATATGCGTTGCATTGAGCAGAGGCCTGCCCATCGAGAGTCTTGTTCCTTACGTCCAAACATGCCAAGCGACAAAGAAGACGTCCAGCATGTCTAGCGTTGAAGGACTTGCAGCGATTGCAAATTGCGTTGCAGGTACAGCGCTGATGCAAAAACCAGAAGCAACGAGTGATTGGTCTTTAGGCATTCTCTTCAACAAAGAATTTGGGTTGTCTCAAAATGGGGAAACCTCGCATATGGTTGGTTTTCCTTTTAGTTCCCATTAAACCAACGGGTACCATCTGGAAGAAGGGACCACACCCATTGAGACACGGGTGGAAGCACGTCAGGACGGGGCTGCAGCGCGCCAGGGTGTGGCCAACGGCGCCATCCCTCGTGACTTGGACTGAAGACTGGGACTCGGGCGGGCGGTCCGTTTTGACTCGAGGTTGCTTCTGTTGTGTTGGGGTCCATCCAATAACTCAAGCCAGGATGCTCCCGTTGCGTCGGTGTCTTGGGGTCGAAATGGGCTCTCAAACTGAAATCGCTATGAAGATTCCTCATTTCCTTTGGAACCGACAAGAGAAAAGAAGGGTGCCCTCCAAAAATACACACCCGAGGCCAGGGCCCTGGCTTCTGGCACAAAGTCGAAGCCTTGACCCAAGGGGTGTTTGTTTTCCTGGGGTTGTCTCAAAAATGGGAAACCAGAGGGAGCCAAAGAAAGTTGAACCTGGTAGCCTTGCGTTTCCAGCTCAAGCTCAGGTTTCCAAGCCCCTCTTTGGGCGCCAAAGTGGCTGCGCTCGCAATCTTATCTGAGGAGTGTTGGCTGCGCTGGCCTTGTCCATGGGCCGAGAGGAGGGGCCACTGCTCGAGCGACATCTGTTGTCAGCTTGGGTGATCAATAGGCCAAGGCCTTTCTCCCAAACCTAAAGCGCTCGACCGCAAAACCGATCGTTCCGTGCAGGTCCAACACAGCGGCATGGTCGCGCTCCGCCACATGGCGGAAACCGGCCGCAATCGCTGGCAGGAGCACGGGCAACTTGCAGCTTTCATTCAGGGCAGGTTGTGCGTCCCATGGGCTGCATGGCCTTGTCATTTTGCATGGGAGGCAACCCCAAAATGCCGCAATTTTCGGGAGCGCGCCCTGAAGATCTACAGGAGAACCTCAAAGAGGCGCGTGCCTCCATCCAAGAAGCCGCTCTGCACACGAAGGTCAGCTGCTCAGTTTGATGAAGTCGCCTGTTAGGAGAGACATTGGAACTCGCAGGGCTCTTGGATCCCTTCTAAGAACCCGTAAGAATTCTAAGAACCCTTCCGGCAACCTGGGGCCTTTGGTTTCCTCCTGTTTCTGGACAAATTGGTCTCCTGGTTTGCTTCCTGCAAACTGGTTTCCTCCTGGGGCTCAAATTGGAATCCGGAAAGGGCTCGGGCTGAGGTGACCCATCAATCGGATGAGGCCTTGTGCCAGGCGGCCGATGGTGTCGGGCCCTCGATGCGGCGTTGACTTCGTCGAATTCGTGGCGTTCACGCGCAGAGCAAATGCACATGGACTCCTGCTTTCAATATTTCTTGTTTCTTGTTGCATTGTCTGTTTCCTCCGAGGGAGAACAGGCGGCATCATGTTTGGACTCAAGTTTGTCAAGCGCATGGCATGACTTATTTGCGACTTTGCCGGGGACAAGAATGATCTCTCCAAGCGTTCCATGCAGCGGGTTGGGTCGTTCGAGAACCAGCAGCTGGGGACATGGGGGGTTCCTTTTGGGACCTCGGAGCCACGTTTTCGCCCGCGCCATCGAAAGGTCCAAAGGTACTCAGTCTTGACAAGCAGGACACACCCTTTCATTTTTTTTTCGGGAAACCGCAAGGAGACCGGGTTTGCCCCATTTTGAGAAGCCCACTGTCTGAAGCATCTCTCTCAGGTGCTGGCCCTGGTGACACCGAGGTTCAAGGAGGTCATGTGCCGCCCTCGTCGCTTTTTTGCCTCGAGCGGCTTTGTAGGGGGGCTTCCTTATCTAAATTCCTTCCTGGAAAAAGCCCTTGTTGCAGAATACAAGAGCAGAAAACCGTGACTGTCACCACCCACACCATGACGGCCAACAGAGTCGCGAGCCGCCCTTGGAATGGGGTAGGGGCCAAAGCATATATTATGTATAGATGTATATAATATATTGCAAGCACACACATTTTTGTATGAACAAATATTAAAGTATATTAGATTATGCAATATAGCATTATAATAGATGATACCACATAAACGTATGTTATGTTACATCAATGATACCTCCGAAGATCGCAGTACCGAGGTGCTGGCACTGGCAGTCTGGTTGGTGCAAAATGGGGCTCACGCCTTAGCGGTTGAGCGCCTGAAGCCTGACTGGGGGACTCCTTTCTTGTAGTGCACGTGTCAGATGCTTCCCATCAGAATCAAACTGTTCTACGCTGGCTTCTGGTTGACATTGCGGACGAGTTAAGCCAGAATAGCCATGTTGGCAGACTTGTTTTTGGGGTGCTGCAACTCAGTTTGGAGTTGATAAGCAAGTTGCCTCTCAGACCAGCCGAGACATCTTCTCGTTGCGTTTCAAGGCCAAAGTGCACCTATGCGCATGGAACTTCCGATCTTCGAGGCTGTGGACGAGGCGGGCATAGACTGCAGACCAGCTACAGGAGCCTCCTTTGTGCATATTCTCTGCAAGCTTGGCGGACGTCCCCTGCCTTCACGAAAGATGGTCAAGTTAAGCTGTGATGGATTAGTGCCTTGCCATGGAAGCATTCTGCTCTCCCAATAAGCTTTACTGCGCATGTCGACGCACTTGCGGGCCCGGCTGTCAGGCACCGGCAAGGGCGTCAAGGGCACATTCGGTCGCAGCGCCTGCCTTGCGGTGGGAGGGGGGATTTCCTCGCGGCGGCTGTTCCAGTCCCCTTTGCCCTTTTACCTTCGAGATGAGTTGCCTCACAAGTGTCAAGGACCGCAGGCTTTAGTCCATGTTTCCATTTACCAGAATTCCATTTGGGGTACCAATTTTTGACCCACAGCCAGGTGGCAATATCACAATAGCACTGCATCGTGCTTACAGCGCTGAGGTGCTATCCCCGTTGCTTGATGTAGCCGTCATGATTTCTTTGAGTTGGGCTACGTTTGATGCATCAGCCCAATGCGTTGTACCAAAGGTAGTGTAGTACATTGTGTTGCACTGCTCGGACCACGAGACTTCATCTCTGCGGTCAATTTATTGATGCCATGCCGCCAAACAGAAGTGGCGGATCATGACCATGCGAAATGTGCTTCAAGAAAAAGAGGCGTGCGCATGACCTCAGAGCATTTTTCCAGCACGGCTCCCGTATGGGGGGAAGACACGTTATGCTTTCTGAGCCAATGCTTTGTCACGGAATCCCTCTGGTTGTGCGTGTCTATTTTGCTTTGACTGGATGCTTTGTCAGCACCGGGCCCATGTTGGTGGCTCATGACTCTGTGCCAGGAGGCGGCGAAGCCCGCGGAGTCTTCACCCCAGCGAGCCGCGTTGACATCGAGGGTTGTGCACGTATTGCGCGTGGCGTGGTGCACGTGGCTCATGACAAAATCGGCAACTGATGCCGAAGATGATGCCAACAGGGGGAATGCCGGCAACGGTGATGCGAAAATGCCGGGAATTGAGGATGCTTTGGGTGCAGCCTAATGAGTTCGGACCATCTCCCGGCTTTGCGAGGCTTTCCAACAGGACCTCAACTGGCGGACACCCAGATGGCCACCCTACCCTAACCCTGCCCCAACCCACCCTAAACATCCTAAAGCCCACTTGAACGGACCCCGAAAAAGAAAGAAAGCAGAAAACATTTGAGCAAGGAGGGATGGATAATCCCCGAAAGAAGAGCGCCCTTTGTGAATCCAACTGCGCGCCACTTGCATTTCATGCGGTTTCATGGCAAACACGTTTCATTCTATCTGTGGATACTTGGTGGCACAGCAAGCATGCTTTGTGTGAAGATGAACTTGAACACATTATTGTTTAAATCTAAGACCAATTTACTTTGGCCTATGAGCAACATACTCTCTGTGTCATACTCTTTGTCTCGCTCTCTCTCTCTCTCACACACAGACAGACAGACAGACAGACAGACAGACAGACAGACAGACAGACAGACAGACAGACAGACAGACAGACAGACAGACAGACAGACAGACAGACAGACAGACAGACAGACAGACAGACAGACAGACAGACAGACAGACAGACAGACAGACAGACAGACAGACAGACAGACAGACAGACAGACAGACAGACAGACAGACAGACAGACAGACAGACAGACAGACAGACAGACAGACAGACAGACAGACAGACAGACAGACAGACAGACAGACAGACAGACAGACAGACAGACAGACAGACAGACAGACAGACAGACAGACAGACAGACAGACAGACAGACAGACAGACAGACAGACAGACAGACAGACAGACAGACAGACAGACAGACAGACAGACAGACAGACAGACAGACA